AAATCCAATAAACGAGCATCAGTAAGGAGACAAATGAAGGGCATTATATCTCGAACACTTTAATATAAATTAAAATATTTTACGCATCAATACAATCTAATAATGGTTTTATCACCTTCGGAATATAAGAGTAGAGAATGTAATATTCATAACTTACCTGCAAAAGCAACACGTCTCTTGGCATCATTGCATCTTCAGGAGAATGGCCAATGCCTTCCAACTTAATTACCTCAAGAAGCTGTCAACCGTCATAATAATAGACACATCAATAACGAAAAAAAAAAATCAAACAGATCAATTAAGTAGGCATCTGATTATGATTAGGAAGAAATTATTAAGCAAACTTGCCTCTTCGTGCTCGATTGTCTGGGCCAAGGGAAGAACAACTTGACCCCCGAAATTCCCGAACCTCGGACCCAGGAAAGTACAAGGTGGTACGGTTTTAACAGCAGCAGCTGGGTAAGGATCGATATTAACATCTGCCCACTCGGATCTGTGCTCCCGTAAAAACCTTAGTAATATTGCCGGAGGCACGTTCTGAACCCAAATATAAAAAGACAGCATTAGAAATCATTAACAAAACAACGTAATATATATAATAAGAAGATTAAGGTAATAATATTTTTCTAATATCACGAATTTACTATAATTCTACCTCTTTCTTTTATTATGTTAACCATAATCCTATTATTACTCAAATCTATTATATTAAAAAAGACTCCGTAACAGTCACACTCTTTCTACTATAAATAATACACAAATCACAATCGTCTCTTCAAAATTTACAGATCTGTAAATTCTTCTCCTCCTTTTTTTCTCCCTTCGAGATTTGTAAAAGCTTAAGCTTTGTATTTTTATTATAAATTACAAGAGCAAGCAATGGAGCCGGGTCGGGTATCGACTGATTTGACGACAGGAGAATTGCCATTTGGGTATAAGTTCCACCCGACGCCATTCGAGGTTGTTCAGTATTATTTAGTGCCCAAATTAAAGGGTGAAGGACTTCCGTCGGGCTACATTAAAGATCTTGATGTGTACAAATTTGATCCTCAACAAAATCTTATAAGTAAGTGTTTTTTTTGGTCGATTTTGATTTAGGGTTTGTGATTGATAGATGATGAATTTGATGTTTGGTGTATGGGAGTTCACAAATTTTATTTTTGGTGTTTGGATTGATAATGTACATTGCGATACAATGAATGTGTGAAGGTGTGTTTTTTCGAAAGCTTATATTTTTCTTGTGTTCAATTAGATGAATCCAAGTATTCAAGAGCCAATGAAGCGTACTTTTTCGTACCATATAATCGAGAGCTTGCACAACCCGTGCACAACTTCACAAGAACAACACCTAATGGATATTGGAAAATGTTTGAACGGAATAGTCCCCTTTACGGTCCCGATGGTTCTATAATCGGGCACAAGAACAAGCTCGAGTTTTACAAAGGAAAGTATCCGAATGGAGTTATTACCGAATGGAAGATGGTCGAATATAGAACTTGTTTTCGAGTTAACGACAATGTAAGTAACCTACTTTTGTTTTTATGTTTTATTTATTTTTTTATTCTTCGACTTATCGTTATATTTTCGAGCTTCTTTGGATTTTAAGAATTAAACATAGGATTATATTAGTACATTATGCAAGACACAATGATAATTAATTCCTTAGAATATTTTTTTTTTCCTTTTTCTTTTTTCATTTTTTAGGTTGAGAGTTTAATGGTTTGTAAAATCAAGCTCAAGGTTGAAGAAGTGGTTATTTATGAGGAAGAAATATCATCTGCTTCTGGAGAAGAAGATGGTGGCAATAGCTGAATAAATTAATGATGTGTTTTTATATTAGGTTGTGTTTTCTTTCCATTAGTGGTTCTTTGTTCCTCCATGTATGGTCTTGTCTTGTGCCAGTTTATTTGAGTTTATTCTTTGATAATTTAGGAAAAATAAACAGACAATATACATGTGAGAGAGATTACAATTTTGTTTCATATTTATACACAATTTCCTTTTTCTTTTATTTTCTGTTTAATACCATTGTGTGCCAAAAATATATATGCATGCTGACAATGAACATACTTGTAGAAGCATTATGTGTGAACTTACCTGTAGAAGCATTGAGGCTTTGGCACACAAGACAGCATTACAAATCGAGTGATATCCACTAGAAAAGGATATATTCAAGCCCATCATTTTTTCTTGACTGGAATTCACCAGAATCGTGATATCATCCATGCCGTCATTACTGATTAACGACCACCCCTCGTCACCAAACCCAGTAAGAGCCTCGTTAAATCCCCTGCATTATTATTGTACAAAAAAAAAAGAAAAGAAAAAAAATTACGATTAAGAATCATACAAACTCTAAAGCAAAAGAAAAAGGAGAAAAGGACTAACCTGCTCAATCGGTGGCTAAGTGCACGTAGAGCTGCTGGCCTTCGGCCCCAGTTGGTCACGCTAGACTGTGAGATGTCATGGGCCATCTGCCTGAGCTGGCGAAGAGCCTGTTTTGGGCGAGGCGAAAAAAACTTACATAAATTAAAAAAAAAAGGGGGGGAAATATATTAATCTTGAAAATAACTGGGATCTGCTCTTTCTTTCTTTCTTTCTTTTGATTTTTAAAGAGTAACAGAATAATTATTACAGCAATTGTGGTCTTCTGAGCAAGCACAGCTGGGGATTCATAGAGAGGGCGTAACACCTCCGGAACGTTCCATGCCTGGTAATAAACAGAAAACACGAACATTGTAAGTCGCACACAAGTATTTTAAAAATAGAATGTTTTAAGTATAATATGTCATACTAAATAGTTCAGCATGATAACTTGGGTTTAATCACAAATGAACACCCTTGAGACACAATCTTATTCAAAAGGATTATATTAAAAAACAAAAACACTACTTCTCTATTTTTTTTATTTTATTTTTTTCTAATTTACTACTGGGACTTGGATACATTTTCAACAAAGATATACAAATCTCTATATTTATTATATTGGATAAACCTCTGGGGTAAAAAATGATATGAATCACAATCTATTGGCAATAATGGTGGATAAGAAGATATAAGGTTACCTCCAAATTCATGTGATCTACAATGTGGATTATTGAGCCTCCTCCATCACAAGGTCTGATCAAATAACCGCTCGGAAACATCTCTGCCCTCACAAAGTTCTGAACTGGCGGCATGCTAGGACCATTCTGGGTATTGCTGAGTGATCTTTCACAAATCTGGGAGCAGCATATTTGCAAAAACCAATGGGATTTACTCATTGAATTTAAGGAAAAAGAAATGGGGTTTGATAATCTAAAATAGAAGAGTTAAAGGTAGATACATACTACTAAGCTCCCATCGTCCATAATAGAAGTATAGCGTAACAACCAAAAGTCACGACCTGGCGCCAAAGTTGTCGGCGCATATAGCTAAAAGAAATTCAAATTTTCAAGTCATTAGACTATAAACGAAAATTATCCTCCAGCGAACATTACAAAGTGAGAGATCATTTTAAAAAAAAAAAGGTAGAAACTTTAAAGTTATAATATCAACCATTGAAGGTGCAAATTTGTAACATAAAAAATAAATATTTACCTGCATGTAGAGCAGTTCTATGGTTCCACCATTGGCAGTAGGCAGCACGTTTAAGACATCAACGGCTCGGCAGTCGCGAAACCATGAAGGCCGATCCTTCAAGATTTCAGCAACCTGGAATTGAACATTAAAAATTGGTTCAATGTTTAAGTAAGAGCGTTTAAGAAAGGAACAAAATCGAGAAAAAAGAATTCAGTTGAACTTACTCTGGTAGGCTCTAGGCCAACTAGGCCGCATGCTCGTGCTGCTACACCCGAGCAACCATGAGAAATAGCAACGATTCCAATGGAATCCGGACCAGGCTGTACAAATAATCAACAAAAATGGTGAAAATTGTTAATATTCGGTAAATCATATCACAATTTTTTATAGTATTTTAATCATATAGTAATTTAACATGATTACAAAATAAATGACAATTAACGATTACCTTCATTCCAGGCATTTGGACCCACTCAACAGCAGTTCCAGTAGCCTTCGAAAGAAACTCTGCTAAAGTTTCTTCTGCAATGGCCAAAAGCCTGAAAAGGGTACAATTAAAATAAAACAAAAAAATTCCAAAGGCCACCAACAAACACAAACGGACAGACACACACACACACACACACAGTATTTATTCCATTGTGAAAATGACTTAACAAAACCAAGGTCCAATTACTCACCCTGCAGGACTAGCATCCCTTGGCGGATGCTGAGGTGTCAAGTGGTTTTTTGGACCACTCGTCACCACCGATTCACAGCTTGTGTCTTTAGAAGCAAGTGCATTCTGAAACATGGAAGCTTTTGGTAAATTATAGAGACCCATAATCAGTATTTGTAGCATATTTAGAACTTAGCCATGTAACTATAGCTGTGCGGCAAAATTGGTGGCTTTAAAACTGCATGGCAATAGCAAAATGAAATAGGCAAAAAGATCATCAGCTTGGTTCTTAATTTGCTTCCTATTTCAAATTGTTTTAAAATGTCGTGTTAAAAGCATAAAAATTTGAGACATTTGCATCTCTGCATCATATTAATTTGAGTTTCGGAAAACTCGCCATCTAGCAGAAATTTGGCAAAAACTCTGATATCAAATGTTGTAACCAATTCTCTAAATTTCAGGCAGCTAAAAGACTTTAAATTTAAGACGGAATCGGGATAAAATTGCAATTACCACAACTGGAAAGCCAAAACAATAGAATTTGTTAATTATTTCAAGGTTCTTACGTTGGGATTATGCTGGCGAAAGTAACTGTTCTCATACACCAACTGTGACACTTGTTTTTGCAACCTGTCATTCTCCTCCATCAAAAGTTTATTCATGGCCGAAAGCTTCCTGTTGACAGCTTGAAGCCTTGATGCCTCTTTCCTTTGCTTCTCTCTGCATCTGTATTTTAAAGAAAGAAAAAAAAAAACAATTCAAAATCCTGCCTATGATCGAAAACCGAAGAAGTAAAATTCTTCAACGGAACAAGTTTTATCGAAAATTTCATCATCAATATGACAGGCAGAACCCTTTTAAGAAAGAACTAGTGAAAGACACTACCAACAAAAAATAAAAGAGAGTACATATTAGATGAACAAAGGTGTTTGTGAAGGCATTTGCCAAAGAGCATAGCATTATTCATCCTTTTTTGTTCGAGTAATAATTCTGCATAACCCAATCCAAATTTGTTATTTTTGATTCACCATAATTTATATGATTTTTTTAAATTCAGCTCAGACTCACAAGCAGATTAATAGCCACGAATTCTTTCAACTTATAACTTTCTATTCTCAAATAGTCTATATATAAAACAAAAAAAAAAAGGCCATTTTTCCCAAAAACTTCCCCATCTAAAAGAATCCAAAAAAATCATCAATAAGAAATAAATACCTTCTGTTCTGAAACCAAACTTTGATCTGCTTGGGCTCAATGTTGGATAAAATGGGACATTCACGGATGAGCTGCTGACGGCGCATAGAGCTCGGCTTAGGGCAGTCGTGATAAAGCCGCTCGAGAGCTTCCACCTGCTCGGGCGTGTATCGAACGTATTTCCCATTATCCATAGCCACGGCTGAGCCTTTGTTACTTTCTTTGTAAGACATTGCCAAGCCTTCACCACACAAAATCCCTCCTACTTTCAAAATAATAGCTCAATCTCTTGTGGGATCTTGTTCTTTTTCTTTTTTTTTTTTTCTCCTTGAGCAGAAGATAAGAAATCTAAGGCTTCAAGTTTAACCTTTTTTTCTGATAACAAGGACTACAGTACAAATAGAACAGCAAAGATGGGATCTTTTCTTTTCTTTTTCTGGGTTCTGAATTTTCAAAAGGAAGAATTCTAACGAGACAACAATAAACTAATTGATCAAACAACAAAATAAAAAAGAGACTTTAGTTATTTTCAACAACAACAAATTCTTTCATCAACCAAGCGTTCCTCCAATCCCACCAGCTTTCCTTCATACTAACCGATTTCAAGAAAGTAGCTCAGTCACTCTTACCACCACGAAAAATACAAATAATTCAGAAAAAGATCGGAGCTTTGAGCCGAACAGTCTGAATCCAAACGAAATAAGCAAACCCCAGATAAAACCCCATACCTGCACTTAATAATCTTTACAAAAAACTGAAACTTTCTCCCACAAACAATACCAATAATTCATCATATGAACCTTTGAGAAAATGGGATCTGTGTTTGATGAAATGAAAGCTGAAAAAGAAGTGTTTTTTGGTACATAAAGAAAATACAGATAGATGAAAAAAGGAGAACAGCTGAGATAGAGATAGTGGTGGTGTGGCCTCTTTGGTGGAGCCTTTCTTTTATTCTAATTGGTTCATAAATTTCCGATGGTTTTTAACTTTTATACAGTGTGTTGTGCTCTTCTCTTCTCTCCATATTTTTTTTTTTTTTTTTTTTTTTTT